CCAGCAGGAGTTCTAAAATTGCAATGGGCCTCAGGATCATCTGGAAGGCTTGTTAACATGGCTTGCTGGGGCTTCCCACGGTTTTGGATTCATAGGTCTGGAGTGAGGCTTAAGAGTTTGCATTCCTGTCAAGTTCCCTGGTAATTCCGCTACTGGTTTTGGGAGCCACACTTCGAGATCACTGACCTAGAGCAACACTAAGTGGCTTCTCTCACTACCCTTCTCCAGGATGCTCCCTCGGTGCCCTCTCTCCACCTCTCAGGTACCCACAGTACAAGAATATTCCCTGGTCTCTCCCCAGTCTGTGGCCAGTTTCTCTCTCCAAGGGGGTACAAGGCAGCTGGGGAGAACCTACACTTTGAACTGGGAGTGGAGCAGGGTTATTGAAGGGAAATTCTGAGAGCTGGGGTGAGCCTCTAACCGGGGTCCTGCCTGCTGTGTGTGCTTAGCACAGGGACAGGAAGTGTGTCCCCTTCTGCCTAAGCAGATTGGGAAAGATAACTTTGTTAGCGGGAGAAGCCCAGGCCCAGGGGTCGTGCTCTATAGAATTGGCACAATCTGCTCTCATGCATGAGCTGCTCTGTTCAATAGCAGGCCCTGCCTTGCCCTGACAGCCCGTCTGTGTTGGAAATCCTCTTGTGAGTCAAAGTGCCCCAGTGCTCCCTCCAGCCCACCTCTTGCCCCTCAGGGCATGGGAGCTCTTGAACCTCAGCCAAATAGCTGTGATGAAGAATCTCTGGCTCAAACAAATTGGCCACAGAGGAGAGACAGGATGGGACAGGTGGCAGCGTGGGATGGGGGTGGGGAGAAGGCAGAACCAATCTACATGTTTGTGAAGCAAAGAAGCCTCTAATTCTCTCCAATTGTGTCAAAACCTTCTCTCTAATGATAGTAATAAAAAAGTCTTTTTTAAAAAGAAGCTAGTTGCCAACATGTCTAAATCTAAGTAATCGTGGCTGCCTGTGTATCATCACAATAGAACTGCACATAGCATTATGCACATAGCATAACAATTGTTATGACATGTTAGAAACAGATTACCAGGACTTTCTTGTTCAAACTTCCAATTTTGGGGCTGGTCTTTGAGCATTTAACCATTTGCAATGCCCAGGGACAGGTCAATAAAAAAATAACACTATTTCCCAAGTACTTATTATGTGCCAAGGAGCTATGTTAACATAGTATCTTACAAGTTGGGCTGCCAGTTGAAAGTTCAGGGGATCAAATCCACCAGCTACTCTGCAGAAGAAAGATAGGCAACCTCCTCTCATTAAAAAACACACACAAAAAAAACTACAAAAAACCACACACACACCAAAAAACAAAGCACATTAGAAGTCCCACTTATTTATTAGTGGATCTCTTTATATAGAAGCATAAAAACCAAGGAAGATATCAGAAGTGCCTCAGTAAACGTGAAATTGATCAGTTTGTGGCAAATTTTTTTAAATAAAATTTTTATTTTATACTGGTTTACTTACAAAGTTTGCATACATTGTTTTTCACACCAGATATTACCCCTTTCTTTTCCTCACCCCTCCCTCCACTCATCGAATTGTGCAAACCAAAGATTAAGCTTCCCCCTGCCCTCATCCTCACCCCTCTGCTCCCCTCCCCACCTTGGGTCCTCATACACGGTCTACAATAATGGTCTTATACAGTATTTGTCCTTTTAGGACTGAGTTAGTTCACTTAGCATAACGCTCTCCTGTCCCTCTCAAGTTAGGTAGTAATTTACAAAATCATTGCTCCTGCGGGCTGTGTAGTATTCCACTGTGTGAATCTACCATAATTTCTCAATCCATTCCATTGTGATTGGACATTTGGGCTGTTTCCATATTCTTGCTATGGTGAATAATGCTGCTATGAACACTGGTGTACAAGTCTCTGTGCCTCAGTTCTCATTTTCTCAGGGTATATTCCAGGCATAGCTGGGTCATATGAAATTTCTATATTCAGCTTTTTGAGGAAACGTTGTGGCAAAATTTTAAACTTGATTATGCAGAAGGTCAAGGACTGTAGTCTTCAATATAGATTGAAGCTCAACATCAAGAAGACAAAGATTCCTTCAAAAAAAAAGACAAAGATTCTTACTACTGGGCCAATTGGCAGCACCGTGATAGATGGAGAAGAGACTGAGGTTGTTAACAGTTACAGCTTGCTTGGCTCCACAATCAATACTCTTGGCACCAACAGTCAGGAAACCAAAAGACAAAGTGCACAGGGAAAGTCTGTTGTCAGAGACTTCTCCAAAGCACTAAAGAGTAATGATGTTAGTCTAGGGACTAAGGTGTACCTAATCCAGGCCATAGTCTTCACAGTTACTTGCTATTCAGCAGAGAGCTAGACAATGACTAAGAATGACAGAAGAAGAATCAAAACCTTTGAGTTGTGGAGCTAAAGAAGAGTATTTAACATGCCTTGGACTGCCAAGAGAACAAACGAGTCTATATTGGAGAGGGTGAAAACAAGTCTCTTGGAGGTGAGGATTTTGAAGCTCCATCTCACATAATTTAGGCATGTGGCCAGGAGGGACCAGTCCTTGGAGAAAGACATCATGCTTGGAAGGGTGGAAGGACAGTGCAGGAGAAGACCCCGATGAGATGGGTTGACACAGTAACTGGGGTAATGGGGGGGGCGTAGGTGTGTGAGAGTGGTTCAGGGCAGGACAGGATTCAGTCAACTCAATGGCACCTAACAACAACGTCAATGGTAGAATGCTAAGAAGCCTCAGTAAACAAACATGTCATCACATATGTGGCTCCTTAGGGATCGATGGTTCTTCAGTGTCTTCTCTTAGAGATGAACCTGAGTTCATTATGAGTTTTAATTCTAATGCTCTGAGGAATGCGGCTAATCTGCTTTTGTTTCTTGTCTGGAAATCTCTGGATCCTGAAAGTCTTAAGAGAAGACAAAGCAAAGACAGGAGGCCATGCTCAGCAGGACAGCAGAGGAAGAGAGAGCGCTCCTCTCGAGAGGATTTACAGCCTGGGTGTCCCGACGGAGGGTCATCATGAATGGGAACCAAGCTGGTGGCGATAAGTTTGGAGATCTGATAAAATGCTAGAGAGAAGCTGCAGAGGCACAGTGGTTAAAGCACTCAGCTGCAAACTGAAAGGTCAATCATTCAAACTCATCAGCTGTTCTGTGGGAGAAAGCTGAGTCAGCCTTCTCCAGAGGAGCATCTGGTGGATTCAAAACGCGTGCCTACGGGATTGCAGCACAGCTTCATGCCACTAGGCCACCAGAACTCTCTGGTAAGCATATTTTAAAGAGTTTTGCTGGTTCTGGAATATCCCAGGAAAGAACAAGTTTTAAAACAAAACAAAAACAAAAGCAAACCCACTTCTGTCAAATCTCCATGATCAGTTTCAGATGCACCTGTTGTGATCTGCTAGAGTGTCAGTGGCTGATTTTCAGAAGTAGATCACCAGGCCTTGCTCCCTCTTCTTAGTCTGGCCGATCTGCTGAAACCTGACTAGCTATCTTTCTTGTTGTTTCTCCTGCAGAGCATCTGGTGGATTTGAACCATGTACCTTTGCATTGGCAGCACAATTCCTTACCACTAGGCCACCAGAGCTCCCTTAAGAGTATGCGGTCCTCCACCAATAGGCAAGTTATGACTCTGCATGAGGTACATTGGCTGGAGAATCAAACCCAGATCTCCTGCATGGAAGGCAAGAATACTGCCAATGAGCCACCAGTGTAATATAAAACATCTCCGTTTTTGGCTTGTGATCCAGTCATGTATTACAACAGTACACTAGTATAGTTCTGGTGAAGTAGTGCCTAGAATGCTGTGCTGCGAACCAAAAGGTCAGTGATTTAAATCTACCAAGAGCTCCACGGCAGAGAGAGGGCCAGTCCTCTCCCATAAAGATAAACCACCTCAGAAATTCAACTCTACAACAATGGACTTGAGTTTGTTTTCTGGTTTTGGGGGGCGTGGTGGGGGGTGAGTGTACTAACTAATGCAGTAAGACTGAGCCTTGGAAAGGCCCAAACAGCACGGGTTCTCTCTCACCTGCCAAGTGACTTCCCAAGTGTCCTTCCTCATTCAGCCACCGGGGTATTTTACCAGAGCCCCTCGGTGAACAGAAACATCACACACACCTCCATTTCACAGACGGCAGCGCTGAAACAGAAGCATTAGCTGACACTGCACAATCCCTCCAGTTGCCCTGCAGCTTCTCACAAGTATTTTAGATGATTAGTGACACGGTGAGGGAAAAGTACTGCCTTCACAAATGACATCAGGAGTTTCGGAAATTCAGAGATCACCAGGATGGCGCAGGGTAGAGCAAGGCTCCGATCGGTGGTTCACAGGGTCTTCATGGGTCGTAGTTGATTTGATGGTACCTAACAACAACAACAACAACAACGTCAGCAAAGGAGACTACGCAAAATTATGAGACACAAAGCATTCACCAATGGAGGCTGAAGGAGCGCCGTGGGAGGGAAAGGGCCACTCACTTCCCGTGGTGGCTCTGGCACAGTCTGATTGGGGTCTGTGGATGTACACGGATGACCTTCTACTATCCCTACACCCCTAAGTGTCTCGAAGCTGATATAGCAAGGCTCTGGGAAAGGGCCCTGGGCTATGCCGTCTGGAGAAAAGCCAAAGCTCTCCTGTTGTAGAAGGCCAGTCTACTAAAGGAAACTTTTGGCATTTGCAGAAGCCCCGTGTAAGCTTTCTGAGATCAGCTTTCCCTACCCACCGGCCCTCGGTACCCAGCACGACTCTCCATTCTCTCTCTCTCTCTCTCTCTGTCTCTCTCTCCTATTGTTTTCCAAACATCCCTCCCTTCATAAAAGCTGTCTGGCTGGGAGCTTAAAATATTGCTGGACAGTAAAACCTACCCATCAGGGCCAATCCAGTCATATCTGCTCAGTCGTGCAGCACAGGAGGGGCGGGGTAGAGAGCTGGGGGGGTGGGCTTTTAGGCGGCAAAGGAAAGAGTCCAAAGTTGCCATTTTGCTGCTGAGCGCCACGAGGGAAGGAGAGCGCTTGCTTCTCCGGGGGACCCTACTCTTATTGGCAAGTCTTCCTCCGGGGCGGGGGGGATATTTGTCTATTACTTTTTACCGTGAATGTTCCCAGCTTAATCTCAGGGTTTGGGTGGTCCTTTTCATGGCGATGAGAGAAAAAGGGTTGCCTCTAAGGTTGGATCTTGGGTTGGGATTGTTGAGTTTTCAGTCCAACTCTGGCAAGCCTCTTGGAGTGGACCTAAGCGTTAGCAGAGGTTTCCAAGGGACAGGAGTGCAATGAGCACAGGGGTGGCAGGAAGAAATGTCTAAACTTGAACGATGATTTGATTCCCCAAGTCTTCTGTTTCTTAAACTGATTTAACACACCCTCAGAGAATCCAGAGAGACCTAAACCTAGTATTTGATGTTTATAAAAGAAGTCTGTACACTTTTCCACTCAAACTCTGTCATAGGAGTAATAACTAACCACTGTTGAGAGCTGTGGGTGTAGGGGGAAGCTTTAAGCAAAGCACTGTTGGTGTTGGAGCATTTAATGGAGCACAGCAATGGGCTTGGCTAAGGACCATAAAATTCTGCCTGGCAGTGGGGTTTCTGTTGTCCAGGAGAGCTGCTGATGAAAGTGGTGGATCTAGAAACATGAATGGAGGCACATTTACACTCCATTACCAAGCGAATGGTAGGCGGCCTTTGAGGCCTTTGGGGAACTTGTTAACATGGATGGATGTGTTTGCTCTGCCTCTTCAAATAGGAGAAGGCTATTCCACTAGAACCCATTCCCCACTCCCATCCTGGAAGAAAGAACAGGGTCCACCCCCGGCTGAACCCTCACTAGTTGTGTGATCTTGGAAGACTCATTTAACCTCACAGCCTGTTCGCCTCTCTGGTAATGACTGTAGACATTTTTAACTCAGTGGTTTTCCAACATTAATCTGTGGACCAGTCAATTCTAGTCCAAGATGAAGTTTTCAGCAGCTGGTGCCAAAGATGGAGTCGTGGTGTAGGAAGTACAGAGTGCAGAAAACTTTTTGCTATTAAATATGCCCAATTCAAAAGACGGTCTTTTAGCCTAATGTCACACCCTCTCTATTTCTATGGTATTGAAATTTCACTTTTATGAAATGATGGTAAGAACAGACTACAGCGGTAGCTGATGATGCCTTTTAAAAGTCTCTTTTTTTCACATCCTTGTTTGGGCAAATAGGGAGCTTGAATATCTAGGTTGATCCCTGTTTATTTTCTCTTGTCATAATAGTCGATGAAATCAAGTCTGAGAATCGCCGGCCTAGTTCACATACAGGTTGTTATAAGATATGTGAAGGTGTATCCTTTTTAATTGCTTACATAAGGCCCAAGCATGTTGTTGTGTTTCATAGTCAACTCTGTCTCCCAGGAACCCCAGAGGACAGCACAGAACGGCCCCGCAGGGTCTTCTAGGCAGGAGGCTTCCCAGGAACAGATGGCCAGGTGTTGTTTTTTTTTTCCCCCTAAAAAACTTCACCAACTTTTTGGTTAGCAGTGGCATACTCAGCCGTTGCATCACTAGGTCCTGTGGCCACTCGTAGGGGACTGTTTTCATTATTACCTAACCACCAAGCCTCTTGCAGCATATTCCTGGATAGACACCAGCACCTCAGGGGTAGAGGCTTAAACTTCATCGGTTCCACCTGCAATAGATCTGTTGACTAAATTTTCATAAGCAAAGTAGAATAAATCGCCTTTTAAAAGAACAGAAGTACCCTTTCTTTGGCTTAGATTTCTCCCTGCTCAGGTGATATCTTGGACACTACTCTGGCCTGACTTTCTTTAATTACATGTAGCATTGTCAAAAGTCAGAAACCAAAAGTATGTTGTCATCCAAAACCCACTGGCACTGAATCTATTCCAACTCCCAGCAACCAGCTCCCTGGTCTCCCAGGTTGTAAATCTTTGCGGAAAGAAGGTGCCTATCTTTCTGCCTCAGGACAGCTGGTGGATTTAAACTTTTTAGTTAGCAGCCCAACATGTAATGTTCTACACCACCAGAGCTCGGTAACACCTTTTAAATATCTCTTCTTGACAGCCCATCTCAATAGCATAAACTGAGAAAGATTTTTTTGTCCCAAGTTACACTTTCTTCCTTTCCATTATGATGATAAACTTGGTAACTCTCACTCACTCCTTGCCATGAAGCCAGAACAAACTCATAGCCGACTCTCCAGTGGGTTTTCAGAGGCAAGAGGAGATTGCCCCTCTTTCTCCCACAGGGCTGCTGGAGGATTCCAGCCTCTCAACTTTTGGTGGGCAGTGCAGCTCCTGGCCATGAGACACCTGCCTCCCAGAGCTCCCTAACTTTGTCATTGTTGTTATTGTTGTTGTTGTTGTTGATTGCCTTCTAGTCAAGCATGACTCATAGCAACCCTATGAACAAAAGGCCTGAAGCCTTTTATAACTATCGACATTTGTCAAAGTTCATAGAGTTTCTCCCAAAACTTTGTCATTAGATATTAAAAATAAAATAAAAATAACCTCACAAGCACTGCAAGTGTTTCAAGGCATGACGTGGAAGGAAGCAGTCCTGTTTGACTTTAGTTTGGAAATTACTAAATGGGATGGGAGAAGGGTGGGGAATTCCTGAGCCTAGCATCTGTGTAGCAAAAAGCATTTGGCTTTCTAGTTTGTATCTTTGATCTGAGGGGACGGGGAAATTGTGTGTCAAGACAACAGGTTTAGGATTAGTTTTGTATTCCTTTTGATACTTGCTGCATCTTTGCAACTTCTTCATCTCTCCACTGCAGCTGTACCAAAGGGAACACTAATACTGGTATTACCTGGGCTCAGAAATTGATATCTTCCAGTTTCAAAATGACACTATTGGCCCCATCTTCTGGTGTCTGTAGATTCCCCACTCCATGAAGGGCTTTGTTCTGTGTCAGGGGACTGCACCAAAGATAAAGACAAAATCGTCCCTGCCAGCCAGGAGCTTTGATCCTGAAGAGGGGAACAAAGCTAAGTGATCCGAGAGGCTGGGCTCACCACACACATTCGTGTGGGCGTACAGAAATGCAAGCTGTCTCAATCTATCTATCTATCTATCTATCTATCTATCTATCTATCTATCTATCTATCTATCTATTTCTAGCTTTCTCTTTTATGGGCTAAGACAGTAAAATATAATTAAAGCTGTCAAAACTAAGTTCATATCTCAATGGGGACAAGATATTAGCAACACTCAGGTTTTTTTAGGACAATATAGCCAGATTTGATCTTGGAGAATACATACACATATTGTTGATTTAACAAGGATTTCAGACTGAAGTGTTGAGTAAGAAGCTTGGCCTTGTCCCTGGCTTTGCCACCAATGGCTTTGTGCTTGGGCTTCTTCCCTAACTAGAATGCTTCCCAACTATTTTCCAGAAGATGACAGGAATGGCTGTCACAATTTCTAAGGCAAGTGCAAGATTTAGCTGAAATCTGAGCAATGACAAAAGCCAGAGTATAACGACATACATGAGGCTGGGATTCTGAGCTGCTGGTTCTGATGTGAGGTCCCAGCCCCCACACACACACTTTACACCCAGTATCCCATTCCTAAAGGGAATTCTTCCTATCTCAGGACTCACAGCCACCGCCATACTCATCTTCCCAGGAAGAGGGAGAGTTAAGTGTTCTATTAACTGAAAGGTTGGTGGTTAGGGTTAAGGTTAGGGTCAGGGTCAGGGTTAGGGTTCTTGTAGAACCTCTACCAGAGGATGGAACCTTGGCCAAAGGTTCTACAAAAGAAAAACCTGCTGATCTACTCCAGCAAAGATTCCCCAAAACCCACTGTTGTCAAGTAGTGTTGATGGCAGCCCTTCATCAGGTTTCTGAGATTGTGAACCCTAACAAGAGACTACACATCTTTCTCCCATGGAGCACTAGGTGGATTCAAAACACTGGCCTTTCAGTTAGCAACCCAATACATTACACACTATGCCACAACGGCTCCTCCCGGTAAAGACAGCAGCTGAGGAAACCCTATGGGGCAGGTCGCCTGTCATATAGAGTCTAAGTTGAAATTGCCTCACTGGCACACACAACAACAGAAGCAGGGGAGCCATATCCAGAAGATTCTGAGGCTTCAAGAGGGGCAACCTCCTCCACTCTCTATCAAGACACAGACAGACCACCGTGTAGAAACTCCGAGAGCACAGGCTGAATATGGCCTAGGCCTGCCATCATGTCACCAGGCTCTATCTGGCCAGACTCCAAATCACGGAGTGGAAGGAGAATTTGCTGTTGTTAGCGGCCAGAGGCAGGCCCCAGCTCACAGCAGCTCCATGCACAACGGAATCAGACCATTGTGATCCATATGGTTTTCACTGACTGGTTTTCAAAAGCTAATCTCTAGGCCCTTCTTCCTGCCATCTTGTTTATCCTCTCTGACAGAGAAACTGCTTTGTGCCCACAAGTCTATTCTAACTCATAATGACCATTACAGGAGGTTTCCCATAGGCTTTCCTCTGAGAACTGTCATATGAGAGCAAATTCCCATGGAGGGGGAGTTCTAACAGCTAAGCACTTAACCACTGGCCTCTCACTCGCTCTCTCTCTCTCTCTCACCCCCCATTCTCCTTCCCTCCTTCTCTACTCCACTCTCTCTCACCCTCCTTCTTCTTCTCCCTCTTCTTTTCTCTCTTCCATTTCCGTTGCGTCAAAAGCAACTCAGAGATGACCTACCATTGAGTTTCCAAAATTGTAAATCATAAGGGAGATTTCCCATCTTTCTCCCTCAAAGGTGCTGGTGGATTTGAACCGCCAGAGACACTCAGCCTTTGGGTTAGTAGTGCAACTCCCTACAGACTATGCCACCATCAAGCATCCTTAAACAGGAAAATAACATCTAGATTAAGATATTTCTTTTTATCATCCATTTAAATCTTTGACAAATAACTTTCATGGCTTGCTTTCTTCCCCCAACATGTATTGAGTACCTGCTTCATGAAAAGCACTATACTGTTAAGGTTTAGCAGCGAAAGGCACACTCCTTGCTCTTCTGGAACTCCCAGCCTATGACAGGGTGCAGTTGGGGAA